TATATTTAAAATTATTTTTAAAATATTGAAAATTATTAAACCGTATTATTATTAAACCTTTTAATATATTTTACTTTTATTTGTTTTTTTGTCTAATTTTTTTTTTTATTATAATAATCATATTGCAAATATATTTTCTTAATTTTATTATAAAAACAACGAAAATGTAAAACGTTCGTTATACGTTCATTAACCATAAATAAAATAAAATAAAAGAAAAAATACTTGTTTCATTAACTTTTACATAAACAAATTTTTATCATAGTTCATTGTTCTCGTCTATAAAAAAAAAAAAAGAAAGAAAGAATTTAACGACCTTGTCGTTGACTAGAAAAATTGCAAAACCCTCCCCCCCCCCTTATTATCGGACTATTAGAAATGACACAGTTGATCTAATCGAAATCACATCAATCAAATAACCAGACGTAAGAAAAATGTCTAACATAATCGTCCTGAGACAAATCCATCCCTTTTTATATATATATAGAGGGTGTCACATTTAAAAGGATCCACTTTAAAACTATTGATGATAGAAACAAATGTGTTAAACAAATTTAAACAATTTAATTCAAAAAATTATCCAACTTTATTAATTTTTGTGAAGGTAGAAGTATAAAAATCATACGAAGGTCAATGTTTATTTTTTAAATTAAATAATATATCTTTAATATGATAATAATAATGCACCAATTAAAATTCAAGATTTTATTTCCTTACAAAAAAATATTAACCAATTGTTTGACAAAAAATTATTTAGTTTACGGAGATTATTTTATATATTGTCATATTATTTATTATTATTATATTTATTTATTATTAATATATGTATTATATATTATTATATTTTTATATTATATTAAAATATATTTTTTTTTGTCACAAATAATATGCCAACTCTTTAAACAATTATTCAACTTTTCTCTAACACCAGTGGACCAATTTTAATGGTACACCCAGTATATATTTGTATCGATTATTCAATAACAAATCGTTTTGCAATTTGTTGACATCTTATCTCAAATCTCAATAGAAGATCCTGTTTTATGTTTTACTTCCGAACTTCCCTTTTTGACCCTTCTTTCCTATTCTTTTCTTATATACATATATATATGTTCTTTTTTTTCTTTATTCTGAACCCTACGGTCACCATAGTGATCGAACGAGAATTTGAGAAGGTTTACGATCAGACGACTTTTTTTTCTTTACCCATTCTCTCTTCGTCTTTTTCTTACACCCTTTTAAAAAATGACGGATAAAAAATTATATCCCTTTTCATATAGGTAATCCCTTTTTATCTGACTATATCATCATCATCTTCATCATCACATATTTGTGATTTATGAATACGAAAATTTTATACTAATTTTAACTTGATCGTTATTTGTCCCTTTTTAAACCCCCCTTTTTTTTTAACTTGATGACAAGATTTTGGTCTGTACTATAAGATTTATCAACAATATTTTTTTTTTTATGAATTATAAAAGGTGATGTTGCATTTAAATTATAATAATTGAACAATATCAATATTTTTTTTATTATATGAACGAAAATTATAAGAAACTAATTCATTCTCTTTTTTCAAGGATACATCTGACACATCTGATGACAAAAATTATTATTTAATATATATATAATTATTATTATTAACAATATTCCAAGAGGTTATTCGGTATAGTTTGTAATTTGCTAATAAAATATTTGTTGACGTTTTTTTTTTTTTTTAAAGTGTAGAAAAAAAGAAATCAAATTTAGTCACACTTTAATTAGGTTAACCTAAAAATTATTTTTCTTCGAACAAATCTTCTCGCGACCTTTATTAAAAATATCTTAATAAAGTAATTGAATTAAATCTATGATAAAAATTGATTAAATTATAGTTTTGCCTGATATTCGATTCAAATGCAATAGTTAAGTTTCAAATTAATACTAAATCAAAATTTCATTATGCAACCACATTCACAGGATCATAACCTTAAACTGTAGGTTTTGTCAAGTTTGTTTCAGAATTTTTTAAAGATTTTATTAAAATTTTGTCAAAGTTTTGTCAGATTCAAAATACTCAAACGTATTATCCTACAAATCTAAACTTTGGATTTTCACAGAGTTGCATCAGAGTCTTTTTTTGAAGATTTTATTAAAATTTTGTCAATGTTTTGTCAGATTCAAAATATTCAACATTCTATACTACCAAAAAATAATAAAAAAATTAGATAGAAAATTTGTGTATGCACGTGTGTTTGTGTGTGTGTTATTTTTTTGTTTTTTTTTTTTTTATTATTATAACAAAAACATGACAATTGAAATAAAAAATGATGGAGATAATCTGATCGAAAATAAGTTAAATATTAAAATACGTCATACACATAAGGAACACATACTTGATAAAATTTTCAAGAAGTAAACGCATTCCACCAATTCCAAGCAGAAGGAAGCCCCAGTTGACGAATCCTGTAAAGTTGTCGAAACCCGAGCTCCATGAAAATAAACTGTCTCTCGGTCGGTGACATCTGCAAAAATTACAAAAAAAAAAATAAAATAAAATAATACACACAAACTAAAAAATAAAGTAATAAGAACAACATTTGAAAAACATTTGAAAACAAAAAAAAAATATGAAAGGAAGATGAGGTAACTCACCCGAAATATCAAATTCAAAAATAAAACTAAAAAACTTAACCTTAAAAAATGAAAAACGAATAACGTATAAAGAAATGAAGGAATCTTCGTAGAAAAAAAAAAAAGAGAAAACAAGAAACAAAAGAATAAAATAAAAGAAAATAATCGTACATTTTTCCATCTTTTCTTAAAGAATTTTCTAACTTTGTTGTAAGTTGTTATATTCAACAACGAGATATGAACAAAAGATATTTGCCATAGAAAGATACACCATAAGAGTCAAATAAAACTAAAAAAGAAAAAAAAAAGAAATAAAAATGAACTATATGAATAAAAGATCTTTTTCGTATTACACGACAATCGTTTAGATTTTTTTTTTTTTTGCATCCTGTTTCTAAAGTTGCAAAACATTTCACGAATAAACGTTTGCATTTTTTTTCTTCTTCGTCTTCTTCTTCTGTCTTTCTTTTTTTTTTATTCTTTAGTTTCCTTTATTTCTTGTAAAGGATATTCTTACTATATTTGTATGTATATGTATTCTAACGTAAAGAAACCATCTACTATCAAACCCACTCCCACCCACTTCCTCCTGTTCTTCTTCTTCTTCTTCTTTCGTATCTTTCATTTTATTTACAATGAAATATAAGATGAAGATATTCGTCTGTTATAATTTAAACAGTTTTATACTACGTTATCTTCTAAATCTTCATAATAAGCTTTCTTTGAAGTATATTTGATTTATTTTGACAATCTCCGAATATAGTACATTCATGTTTTAATTATATTCTTATAATATAACCTCAAATTTTGTCATGAATATAATTCGAGAAATGTATACATGTGTCATTATAAATTAATTATAATTAAATGTTTTATAAATCTTTTAGAAACAATATTTTATAATAATTAATTAAATATTATTTATTTTGACAATTCTTATATAATATAACCTCAAATTTTATCATGAATATAATCAAAGAAATGTATACATGTGTCATTATAAATTAATTATAATTAAATGTTTTATAAATCTTTTAGAAACAATATTTTATAATAATCAATTGAATATCATTTATTTTGACAAACGAAATATAAAAATCAGTGTATTTAACATAACCTATAAAATTACTGTATTCAATCTAACCTATATATATATATATATATAAGTATATAAATATATATATTTAAACAAAAATCATTAATTTATTCATCAACGAATATATGAACGATTTAATAAACTTTGTAACCACCCTTCCACATATACAAGGTGTCCCAATATTTTATAGCCAAATTTTACTTGAACATTCTATAAATAAAAATCATAGCCATTAATTTTTAAATTAATCCACGAATATATGAACAATTTAATAAACTTTTTAACCACCCTTAAACATATACAAGGTGTCCCAATAATCTAACACAAAATTTTACTTAAACATTTTATCAATAAAAATAATAGTCATTAATTATTAAATTAATTCACGAATATATGAACGATTTAATAAATTTTGTAACTACCCTTAAACATATACAAGGTGTCCCAATAATCTAACACAAAATTTTACTTGAACATTCTACAAATAAAAATAATAATAAATTAATAAAATAATAACGTACATTCTTAAATGATTATTTAAAAAGTTATATCAACAATATAAGTTTACTTCTATAATAATAAATACGTGTAGATAAGAATAAGAAAAAAAAAAGAAAAGTTAAAATACGGTGAAATATATTTTGAGGTTATATCCCATGAGAACAATTTAAAGAGAACAAATCGTATTTTATTTATTTATCATTTCCTTATTTCTTTTTTTCTGTTTTTCGTCTTGTTTTATTGTATTTCTTTTATTTGTCGTAGAAAACGTTGGTACTTCTTTTTGAGATGAAACGTTTTTCCGTCGTAATATAAAATTTGAATGTGTGTTACTGCAATAAGGAAAAATCGTCTAACGTTTTACATTTTCTGTTTTTTTCTTTTTCTTTTTTTTTTACATCTTCTACTTGCTCTTTCTCTCAATTATTTTAGTATGGGACATGGTAAAACATATATTAATCATTTTTTTCAAATGGTATACTCTACTTTGACATAAAATATTATATTTCTTTATAAAGTAATATTAAGAAAAAAAAAATCATCCCATAAAAAAAAAAGCAATTCCAATCATTCTCAAATACTTATTCACATAAAAGAAAAAGTATTTTACATTCTCAACCAATTCTCAACAAACACACACACACACACCCATACATCAATTAAAACCAACATAAGAATATCCAAAATCAATAAAACAATTTTACCATATAATTATTACATCCCCCAAAATAATTCAAATTATATTTCCCACACGCATACATTCTTAATTAAACATGTGCTCATTATACTAATAAAATAACGTGTCAATGTAGAAAATAAATTAATCATTATTACCAACTCAACAAACAAACAAACAAACAACCGTCCTACTTGGTTTCAATGAAAAACCCTTTGACCTTTCTTCCAACGTAAAGTCATATTCAAAGCATATGCACGTATGCAAGTGAAATCTACTTACATATACATATGTACATAACCTATATGGTTTTCAAAACACACAAATACATTTACATACACACGTATACATTCATACATACGTAAGTACATAAATGTATACATACACACATACATATATACATACGTATATACATATGTATATATCTACATACTTGACATGAAAATGGTAGGTGCTTTTTTTTAGCGACCATAACGCCCAAGTGGCTCCATCCAAATGAAGTACTTAATTAACTTGACTCGCGAGTAATAGTACTACGTACTCGTAAAGAAAGAGTAAAGAGGGAAGAAGGGTTCTAGGGGAGGAGGAGGGGTTGAAGGTTGAACGAAAAGTAGGAATTAGGGGTAAGGTAAAAAGGGATGCTGGCCAACGAGGTTTCACGTCGAAAACTTTAACTAGGGTTGAATATTCCACAAAAGTAGGAAAACAACCATTCGTATATTGCTAAAAGGGTTTGCTACTTACATACGTCATTTTTGTATAATCCCTATTATCCAATTTAATAAAAAAAAAAAAATCCTAACAATAATATATTAAATATTTATTATTAATTATTAATTTGTTATTAATGGTTTCTAGTATAGATATAAATATATTATTATAATATTAAACTAATTGTTTAATAAAGTCAAATATTGACAAAAAATTTAATATATATTAATTAAATAATTTATTACATAATTATTTATTTTAATTTTTATTAAAATTTATTAAAATTTAATCAGAGCAATAATTTATTTAAACAAAAATATAAATATTAATTTGTTTTGAATTTTAATAAGTATTAAATAAAATGTTTAATTTATTTAAAATTGATAATAAGTTGAACAAAAAGTAGAATGACAAAGATATTAAAAAGGAAAACCATAAGTTCCTTAAGTCACCCTTTTGCATTAACTTTCTTGATTAGGTTTCTTCATTAGTGTCAACGTAAGGAATAATCCCACGTAGATCTTGTGGCAGGTGGTGCCTTAGCAGGAGCACCGCCAGCACGTAAGACGATACGATCGTAAACGACCTTGGAAGGGTTTCTAAGCCACTAACTGCACACTAGAAATCCCCTCGGCTCTCAGTATTATCCGTAAAGATCATCAAGAAACAAGAGTGAGATGTGAAGAAGTTAATTTATAAATGTGTCGACGACACAAATCCAAATATATCCTTAAACCTATTTCTACCTTTTTTTTTTCTTTTTCTTTTTAATTAATTAAATCAAAGAAAATTTTTCTTTTCAAATATTAAATTAAAATAAATTAAATTAACACACGGTAAATTTATTAATTAAATAAACAATAATATAAATTCTAACCTATATATTAATTCATATACAAAATTATTGGGTTGGCAATTAAAAAATCATTGGTGATTTTAAAAAGCCACCTATCGACAAAATCCTCAACTATTTACTTACTAACCAAATATTTATATATTCTATTAATACCTACAAACAATTGAAAATATTCTAAAAATTCGTGTCAAAATTATTGAAAGGTATCAATGGTCATGTAATAATTTATATAATATTTAAAATAAAAAACCATATATGTAAATATTATTAATAACACAATAGCCATACTAGGATTCCCATAGTAACTCATACCAAGTATACATAAGTCACATACATTATATAAAACAGTATATGGTTATATATGTAACGTACTGATACGTTTAGGTATCATATAAGGATAGCATATATAAGGTAACATATTCTCTCTATCTCTGTCTCATAATTATCTGCGATAGCTCCTTCTCAACGATGCCACACCAACGGTTGGCAGACCTGTATTCGACGACATTGGCGAACCACCTTCGTAGTCCTTCGACCATACTCCTTCCTTCCTTCCTTCCTTCTATCTTTCTCTCTCTCATACTATATATATATATGTATATATATATATATATACTCTCGCTAACGACTATATATGCCATGACTATTATTCTGAATTTATGGTAGATCGTGGTAATTAATAGAGCCACAATAGAACCAACGGGGAGTTGTACGCCGCCAACACACGAAGAGAACCATCTCACACTTCTGATAGGCTGCTTTGCTATGTGACAGAATGCAGATGCATTTCACAAACGAATTATTTCCTATAATAGTTGAGATGAAAACCTTACTATATCAATATATTAACCTATTTGTTGTTATGTATTATAATTATTTTCTAATGTGTTCTAATTGTTTCCAGGTATTTTAAATTTCATATGTGCCACCATATTGTTTCTAACCTCCAAAATGTTCGTATTTTATTTTAATAAACTTTTTTTTTTTAATCTAATCATTGGGTTGATACGTATAAATAAAATAGAAAAGAAAACAAAGTAGATTTTCTGTT